TGTAACATTTTATTTAATTATTGTTTCTTTTTAATTTTTAATTATACTACATTTCTATGCAGACCGAGCGCTTCAAGTTCAATGTGTTATGTTATGGCTCCTTCTGCTGCTTCTGCAGAACATCAAAGTGGAGAACCATTTGGTTTACCCGTTCAATCATTTGAACAAATGACAGAAGGAACCAGCGCACTTCATTCGGATTCGTTCTATTGTACAATGTAATGATATCCAACTAGTTAAATATTGACTTTTCTACATAAATGTAACTTACAATTGCAACATTTTAAAGAATTATTGTTTCTTTGTAATTTTTAATTATACCACATTTCTATGCAGGCCGAACGTTTCAAGTTCAACGTGTTATGTTATGGCTCCTTCTGCTGCTTCTGCAGAACATCAAAGTGGAGAACAACCTGGTTTACCTGTTCAATCATTTGAACAAATGACAGGAGGAACAAGCGCACTTCATTCGTCTTGGTTTTATTATACAATGTAATAAATACCCAACTAGTCAAATATTGATTTTTCTGTACAAATATAACGTACAAGCGTGATAATTTTTATTATTGTACTTTTTTACTTTTAAACACATCACATTTCTATGCAGACCAAGCACTTCAATTTTACCGGATTACAGTATGGATCTTCCCGCAGAACGGCAAAGTCAAGAATACCGTGTTTGCTTGTTCACTCATTTAAACAAATAACAGTAATAAGGAACAGTCGCTCTTGATGAGTAATTATACGTTTTGCTCATATCATACAATTAAAATGATATCCCATCTAATAATCAAATATTTTATACTTTTTTCAAAGATAATTTATAAGTGCAATATTTTAAACAATTTAATTCGCCTACTTTTTAATCACATCAAAAATATTCGTTTCCTTCATTATAGCAATATACAGGACTATAACATTTTAAATTTTAGCGTAATTAAAACGTCTAATAATGCATGTTTTATTTTTAATTATGCCGTATTCGAATTTATACAGAAACGTTTCGAGTTTTTGAAAATCAATGGTCTCTCTTTTACGAATTTCGATTCAATTGTGTCATAGCATTAGAGTCGGAGAAATTATCTGTATTCAAGAAAAACCGTACGTAGGCATATATCGCTTAAACAACCAAAAGAATAAAGAAGCGTTTTTAATGAGTAATATTTGCTTTGTTTATTTTAACATTATTCAACTTATTCTAATAATATTATGTTTTTTTTCCAATAGTAACAATAAATTTAAAAATTATTTTGATATACACATACACATTAGTACTAAAAAATGCGAACTTCAACGGGCATTTCTAAAAAAATTCAAAATTTCTTTAAAAAAGAACCCCTTTACCGATCATTGCCAAATTCAATACCAATTAACCTTCTTTAAATGATACTCTATCGATTAAAAAAAAAATTAAGCCTGATATCTCAATATTTGCGGAACCACGGACATCAAATCCGCACATACACACATACATAAGCACACCTTTTTTTTAATGCAATATTTCGACATTTTAGAACACTGAACATATTAGCATCAAAAACTTAAAAAAACAATCTTTTTTTTTGGTTTCTTCTATCCCTATTTTATATATATATTTTTTATTTTTAAACATACGCAATTAAAGGTTTATATACAAAATTTACGAAAACAAAGCTTCCTCTATATGAGGAAGAATTCTAATTCTAATTCTAAGAATTTTAGAAAAAGTTAAAAAAAGAAACCGCGAGATTAAAATTAACATCTGCAATTGGTAAAAGTGAACACATCATAGACATAAGCGGTATCTATACGGGAGAGTCGGAAACAGGAAAGCCGGCCGCCGGCCGCCACTAATTGCGGGAGCGGCCGCGCGATGGCGCCGGCATGCCGCGGCGAGAGAGACCGTTGCCGTTAGCTGCGACTGGCTGCGACGGTGTCGCGCGACGCCGAGTCCGGGTATTTGTCAATATCTGCTCCGGGATTTTCGGCGTTCTGCGTGGCGAGAGCGCGCGTGTACCGCTTCGCGTCAACACATTTCGCACGCTACGCGCTACGAAGAGAGGCTCGCGACGGGTTTTCCCGGATTCCGCCGTGTCGTCGGGTGTCCACGCTGTCCACCCTTGAACGAGAGAGTGTGTGAGAGAGAGAGTGAGAGCGGGGGGCCTCCTCTCCCTTCACGGCTGCCAAACGGGTGCCGTGGCCGTGCCGTCGAACGCCCGCCGTCGCGTCGTGCTACGTCGCCTCGCGTCGCGTCGCGCGAACCTGGCCGAGCGAGTTCGGGAGTGCGCGATAGTAGTAGTAACGCGAATACCTGTGTGTGGCCGTGTATACCGCGAGTGTGACGATATCCCCCGATCCCCGTCGACCGGTCGGGCGGGGGGCGGCAGGAGGAGAGGAGCGGATCGCGGCGTCAGTGACGTATCCTCGCGCGCATAATACGCGCGGAATATAGCGAGCCGGGAGTCGGCGGCCGCGACGACGACTCATCTTGTGACATCTCTGCATCCAACCACGGAACGTTCTCCTGCCCACGAATGCGGTCCACGGCCGTGTATTAAGATGTAAGTATACATTCGCCAGACACGAGATCGCCTCTCGTTCGTTTGCAATTGCGCGCGAGCTGCACCGGAGTCGCCGAGCTGCGACGAGCGACTCGGCTTTTAACCGAGAGAGAAAGGGTTTCGTTGTTTGTCGCGCGATTCCACCGCGGCCTCGTCGTCGTCGGCGGTATTGTTATAAACATAGACCGGTTCGTTGTGCCATAAGCCCGCATGCGAGTGTACGTGTGTATATATGCACGTTTGTAAATGGTACAGGATGCTCCGGAATTAACGAGCGAACACGTTCTTCCTCGAGAAAATTCGAAGGTTTTTTTATTTTTAAATGAATAAATCATTTCTTTTCAATGAGAATCGATCGATCTTCTTTTAACAATTTTAATATTCTATATCGTTAAAATAAAAAATTCAAAATCTCGCGAGAGTAAAATCCGGCTCTAAACGACGAGCGACGCTCCGTTACAAATTTTTCACTCCATGAATTATTTCGGGAGATGAAAAGCTCCGGATATAAGTATTTTCGCGAACGAGAATCGATCCCCCGAATTTCTCCCGCGACTCCCGGGGAGAACGTGCCTGTCCGCGCTAATTCTCGCTGATTCTCGGACACCCAGTATAACGACGTCGGCTACGCTCGCGCGTGCATGCGCGTCGGTGTGAGTGCGCACGCCGCTGCTCCATCCGACCTGTGCATGCGTATGTGTGTGGATGATCGACATACATGTGTTGATCTCCCCTCTCCCCTTTGCTCCGTCTCCCCCCTCTCTCTCTCTCTCTCTCTCTCTCTCGCTCTTTCGCTCTCTATAGCGTCGCGTTTTAAGGGGATATACGTGACAGGTACATGCGCGCGCGAAACCGGTCGGCCGACACTTTGGATGCCGCTTTTTGCAAAGGGCCGATCTGCTCCCTCCCCCCTTCTTCCACCTGCGCCACTTCTATCCTCACCCCTTTGTTCCCTTCGCCTTCTTGTCGCGATCCCTCCCCGCCCGGCCGCGACTCGCTCACGCGAAAGTGTTGCACGGGATGCGCAGCCCGGAGTAAAGAAAGAGAAGTAGAAGAGTTAAAGATGCAGATATACAAGGAGGGATCAATTGGAAAACCGACGTGATTGAAGGATGCAAATGGGGCGGATAATTCCAGAGGATGGTTATACGGGAAGGCATTGACGCCGTTCGATAAAAAATATTTGACGAGAATAAATGTGAGTCAGATATTTGCGTATCCATGATACTTATCTGTTGCCATCCTTATCTGCCTCTTGGACGATTAAATTGGATTAATTTTTGTCTACTTTGCAATCATTCCCAGACAAAGCGCAAGGAATTAATATAACATAAGCATAACGAATTCGTACAATATAAATTATCGTACAATGACAGTTTATTTTATCATTATTTCATTACAACTTATAGTGGAATTATTAAATTCTATCTATATAAATTTTATGTCGATTTTTCCTATTTATTCTTTATTTATATTTATTGAAGCATTTTACTTCAATATTTAAATTTAAAAGATTCACGTGAAATAAAATTTTAAGAAATTAATATTGATAATGCTGTACGATTTCCTAATGTCCATTTAATGCAATTGACGACTAGAAGTGCCAAAGGAGGTATTACAAATACATCAGACTCATTCCACCCAATTTGATCAATTCGGAACGGCTTAGATCGGAGAGACGGACGTGGATTAAGCGTGATCCATACGGAAGCGCGGCTAAGTGACAATGTCGACGAAGAGAGAGGTCCTGCTCGATTCTCGGCCCTTATCGTCGGACCACCCTGGACGCGTATACATATATATATCTCGAACGTTGCATCTACCTGTCGACGTATAAGGCGCGCGATGTCTGGAGGGATACAAAACTGAAGGTGGACGGTCGTTGGCCGGGAGAGAAACGACCTGAAGTCTCGACACGCGGACGAGAGACGAAGAGAACGAAGATATGGGGGTAAGAGGCGGGGGAACGAGCGAGAGAGAGAGAGAGAGAGAGAGAGCTGCTTTACGACGGAGCTGCGCTCTGCCAATTCTCTCCTGCTCACGCGGAGCGTTTTCAGAGACGTGATGGGAAACCGGCAACGATTACGTGCTTAGTCTGCGCGTTCCTTTGCTCGATTCATACTTTAAGGTTACCCATTGTATATACCGACTTTGTAGTTGCAATTAATATAATTCCGCGTCATTCGCGTAACGCGACCGGGCAAGTGTTTGTGGTATCGCGAGCCAAAAGGTGGGGAAATGAGAAAATCGATCAGTTCGCACGACCGTGGCAATGTTATTACGCGAGTATATACCTGCGGGTTAAGTTATTATATTATCGTAGGTGCGATAAGAAAATTGCAGTTCGATGTCAAGTTTTATCTTTGAGGGACTTCTTTACGTTACGGTTAAACCACCGTCCAATACCGGCCGGTTTCACGAATGTTCGCCAACACTGCGAGCAAACTGTTTGCTTTCATCAAACTGTAATGCAAGCTGTTTAATATGAACGAGACGATCGAGCGCAAACTGTTCTCGAATGCCTAGAGAACATCGATTTCAAAGTATACGCACGCTATGGCAAACAGATCGTTACTCGTAACTTGCCTATGTTTAATTCAATTAAAATAGCAGCTTTTAACTTATTAAATTCATTTATTCATATTACAGTACTCGTACATCATAATTCATATTTACTAGAAAATACATAGTATTCGAGAGAAAGCGTTCCAGTTTTTAATTAGATATTATTTTTTAACTTCCAGCGAGCTGTTGATTACGTATTGAGATTTATATGCAATAATGTAGATAAATTGCAATTGCGACATTGTTTCTATAAATTTTGAGAATATTTAAAGAATATATATATAAATCAATAAAGTATGAAAAAATGCGTAACATGCATGTATACTCTGTTATAAAATCCCCAGCGAAACAGATAATAAATTATGGATAACACTACAATTACTCCGAATGAGATTTAATTACTTTAAAATTATTGCGCGTACATTGCATGTAGTTTTGTGCGAACGCAAACTCATCGAGCGAATTTGGCCCGATCCGATTTCCCTCATCTCGTCATTATAAGCGAAACGCGATCTATCGCGCCGGAGTTATTTACGCGTCTTTATTAGGAAAGAAAATCACATGCAATGCCGTCGCATTGTTATTGAAATAATCGCGACTTGCGTTTGGCGTTTACTTTCGATTTCGATTCTCGCCGTGCAGCTTTGACTCACCGCGACGCTTTGAGCTTCGTTTATCTTTGTTTACCGATCATAAGTACGTCTGGCCTAAGTAAATCATACAGAATACTTGATTTTTTAATTATCGACGTTTTAACAATATTGGATCATAATGTTGTCGTTTCTCGTCTCGAATTTTTAATCATCTGCACGTAGTTATAATATAATCTTTTTATTATTCACATAAAAAAATAAAAGTAAAGTTTTTAGCTAAGAATCAATATTTTTCCTCTATAATATTTTTTTCTATACGAGGATAAATTGGCTTGACATTTATGACTTTATAATTATTTTTTTAAAGAATAATATTAATATCGAGAGGTTTAGGGACATTGTTTGTATGCGTTTTTTGCAATGAAAAAAGATTAAACGTACTATTGTGGACTGGTGCATAAGGTGAATGTGCGCGCGATATTTTTTTGTTGCAGCTATGAGCTATATTTAACTCTCACTTGCAAGGTCGTACAAATGAGTCATCGTATATCGTCGATTTCTTGAAAATAAGACATGGGAAAGTTCCATAATGTAGTAACTCAGTCCCGTATTTATAGTCATGAATCTCGTATCGAAAAACGTATCGAAATGAAATACTCAAATTAAATTTCCATAGCTTGAGACATAAATGGTTCGATAGTCATACTTTAATTGGAGATTAACTAAAGATGTATTCAGCTAATTCTGAGAAGTAAACAATTATTCTCGTGAAATCTGATGCTATTAAAGTACTACATGATTGTTGAGTGGAATATTTCAATACTTACATTATATACACAAATATCTTGTCCCAATCTTCATTATCCATAAGATGTGAACATTGTAAAAAAATTTTAGTAACAATTTTATACTCTCAAAATATTAATATTTTGTTTTTTTTCGGTTTTTTTATACTTTTATTATTTTTTTTATTGTTTTTCATTATTCACAAATTGTCCAAGCAATAGACTTGAAAATTGAATTAAATTATAATTTACTTGACATAACATTTCACGATAAACGGTTAATCAAATGAAAAAAAATTATTAATACAATATATATCTTTACGAAGTTTCTTGAAAATTTTGTGTTTAATAATTCCTGCAAAATGTTCAATTAATTGACAATTGTATCAATTCCAAGATTGAATATTTATACTAATCTATTCAGCATCTATTCGAAGATATAATAGATCTCTATATGAGATGTTACTTTATTTCTAATGCTTTTAATTTTTTCATATACATGCATACCTACATATTATTTATATCTGATACAATTTTCACGAAAATTCATTACCTTAATAAAAAAAATATATCACTGATACGATGAGTGCGGTGGCGAGGGTGTGATTACGTTGAAACTCTCAGGTCATAAAGTATGATTTTTATCATACTTTAGGTCATTTTAATTTTTCTGTCAGAATCGTTCGTTGCACTCGTATAACACAGCACTCGCGAAAACGCGGTTAATTACGATCACGGGTATTAATCATCACGATGAAATAATCGCCCATACTTTACACGGCACTCCCGATGTTAGTCGCACCGGTCGCACGCGAATTAATAAGCGCGCTTTATTATTTTACATCGCGGCGGAATCCCATCGAAACACGATCGTGAAAAATAATGCGGAATACAAATTCTCTTTGTTTCGAAGGTATTCAGTATATTCAGCGATTCGCGTATTATTCCGCGCTCTCAATCAGTCGATGAACAAATTGCGTTCAAATCAGAGCGTAAAATTCAGAGCTTGATATTTGAAAGACACATTTGAATGTAGGTATCGTTAAAGAAATCATTACTGTTTGTGTATAAATATCACGTATAAAATATCGCGAAAAAAAACAAATTTAAAAATTATTGTTCCGTTTCCTATCATATCTTATGTATCTTATTTGATTTTTAAGTGACATGTCTTCGCGCGAAATATTCGTTTTAATAAAAATACTAACGAAATTTATAGTTGTTAATTGCGAAAGTCAATTGATTGGACGAGTTGCAAATCGAAGTAATTGTTCGTAGGAAATAATCTCGTTTCAACAAGTAACACGGTGACACGCAGAGCGGACTACCTGCCGACTCGAGTTTTCGATGCGTGAATGATAATACCGCGCGCCGCGCGCGCGGAGACCTTGTGTTTGAGACCACGCGCTAACAACGTTGAGGTCGAACGCTAATTAGCCTTGTTTCCTCGAGATATTTAATGTTATTTTATACGAGATATTTGTACAAATATTCCGTTCCTTATCTTCTACTTTAAAAATTGAAAGTTCTTATCGTATGATAACAGTTAATTCCGCTGGATTGGAAAAGTGTTTTGAAATAAAAATATTGTTAGTTGAATGAACGAATTTTAATTGTTATATACATATGAATTATTTTCTTCTTTTAATAACAGTTTGAATGACTTTATTCAAAAAGAATTATTAAATTTATTATTTGAAGATTAAAAATTATCTCTTTGTTTACATTGAAAAATTATTTATATAAATTATTTTATCACTTTTAGAGGTTTATCCAAGAGAGAAGTAAAATTATATGATTTTATTAAATCAAATCATCACTACAGTTTTAATAAATTCGCATTTCCCCGCATCAAGTGACCAATAATTATACAAATCACATGATTTTGTTTCGCGTATAGGGCTTTTCGTATATATGTATATATGCATGATATATCCCGAAAAAGTGAGTACCCGTCCTCGTTGCACTGCACATCGCCGATTAATCGATAGGACATATATATCTCATCCGAAAAGCCAATGCGCGTTGCACACATTCTCCGACGTGCAGTCCGCATCCGCATCCGCGTGCGCTGTGCAAGCAGGCAGCAATTGGCGTCGGAGGTCAACATACCGTTATAGCCGCGCATCGTCGTCGCCGTCGTCTCTATTTCGCGGACTGGACCGCACTCGGATGACGGCGTCACCGCGATCGTACGCGTGACGCGTTGCGTGCACTAATCCACACTGTGCACTGTAGACGCACCGGCCCGTGCGCGTAATTGCACGTGCGTAATTACCGCAACAATAAGCGCATTCGCGCACACGCGTACCTTGCGCAGAGACAATATGGATAACGAGAAAGAGAGAGAAAGAGAGAGAAAGAGAGAAAGAAAGAGAGAGAGAGAGAGAGAGAGAGAGAGAGAGAGAGAGAGAGA